TCTATTCTATTCTATTCTATTCTATTCTATTCTATTCTATTCTATTCCATTCCATTCCATTCCACCCCACTCCACTCTATTCCTATTCCTGTTAATCTATTCTATTCTTATTTCTATTTCTATTAATTCTATTCTTATTTCTATTTCATTCTGTTCTATTCTGTTCTTTCCAATTCTATTCTATTCTATTCCATTCCATTCCACTCCACTTCACTCCATTCCTATTCCTATTATTTCTATTCTATTCTTATTTCTATTTCATTCTATTCTATTCTGTTCTTCCCAATTCTATTCTATTCTGTTCTTTCCAATTCTATTCCATTCCATTCCATTCCATTCCACTCCACTCCATTCCTATTCCTATTATATTCTTATTTCTATTTCTATTAATTCTATTCTTATTTCTATTTCATTCTATTCTATTCTGTTCTTTCCAATTCTATTCTATTCTATTCTATTCCATTCCGTTCCACTCCACTCCACTCCTATTCCTATTCCTATTATTTCTATTCTATTCTTCTTTCTAGTAATTCTATTCTATTCTTAATTCTATTCTATTCCATTCCTATTTCTAGTAATTCTATTCTTATTTCTATTCCATTCCATTCCACTCTTCTTTTTGCAGCAGTTCTTGACTTCACTTATTTAATTTCAGCCCACCACATAACAAACTAAGGACACAGGTCAAGGCTGCCTCCGATTTCTCCATACACTCCAGTGATTTCTTATGTAAGGCTAGGGCAGCGGGGGGGGCACCCTTGTCCCACCCAGCGATGCCAAGCAAAAGGGAGGGGCAGGTGGGGGGGGTGTCATAAGACCCTGTTGCCAAGAGATGCCCCTTGTCATAATCCATTCAGGACCCGCAGCAGCTGCCAGGACACCCAGGCAGGACACCCAGCCTGGCTAGTGCTATGTCTGACTTCTTTGTTTGGTTCTGTGATCGCGGATCCTGCCAGAACGTTGCTCACCCCCGCAAGACCCTGCCCGCCAAGGGGGGCACCATGAAGGCGTCAGCCTCGGTTCCTCTTCAGCTGCCGACAGGCAAGAAGCAGGCTGCAGCTAAGCCCTCAGCCCTGGAGGCCTCCACAGATCCCAAGCCCCTCAACAAGGGCCCACCGGGCAGGTCGCCCCCCCTTCAAAAGGAGCCCCCCTTGAAGAAGGACGCTGGCAGATCTACAGCGCACCCCAGTTTAGCAGGGAAGAAGCTATGTTGGACAGAGGACAACGAAGCAAAGCCGGCGGCTTGTCCACAAGGCCGCGCCAAGCAGAAGAACAGCCGACGGGCGTTGGTGGGGACAGCCCAGGCTTCCTCAGTCGGACATGGCCCCCAACCTTTGAGTGTCACCGAGAAGCAGCAGCCGCCAAGACCTCCCAACGCCACGATGAGCGGAGCACGGAGTGGCCTCCTCCGCGCGCCGCACGTGAACGCCAAGGGAGACCAGCCAGGGATGCCCGCCAAGGCAGCCTCAGGCGCGGGGAAGACAAGTAGCACGGTGGTGTTGAAAAAAAGCAAAAAGTTGCCCCACCAGGCTTTGCTCGCCAAAGGTACAGGCCTCTGGATGACCTGTGCAACCGAGCACAGCTGTGTAAGCCGGAAGTTCAGGCGCCCTGAGTTTGATGTGGAGCTGATAAGAACATAACCCTGAATTATAGAGAGAGAGAGAGAAAGAGAGAGAAAAGGAGAGAGAGAGAGAGAGGAGAGAGAGAGAGGAGAGAGAGAGAAGGAGAGAGAAGGAGAGAGAGAAAAGGAGAGAGAGAGAGAGAAAGAGAGAGAGAGAGAGAAGGAGAGAGAGAGAGAGAAGGAGAGAGAGAAAGGAGGAGAGAGAAGAGAGAGAGAGAAGGAGAGAGGGAAAGAAAAAGAGAGAAGGAGAGAAAGGAGAAGGAGAGAGAACAGAGAGAAGGAGAGAGAGAAAGAGAAAAAGAGAGAGAAAGGAGAGAGAAGGAGAGAGAGAAAGGAGAGAGAGAGAAGGAGAGAGAGAGAGAGAGGAGAGAAGGATATCTGTCTATCTATCTATTATCTATCTATCTATCTATCTATCTATCTATCTATCTATCTATCTATCTATCTACGCAAAGGATTAATTCAAGCAAAGCAATAACTATTTATTAAAGTGGAGGGTTTAGTTTGTTTTTTTCAATAGTTTACAGAAATAAGCGAACCAGGTGGTCCTTGACTTATGACCACAATTGAGTCCAGAATTTATGTTGCTAAGTGAGAAGTTTGTCGACGGGAGCCTCCGGAGGCCGAAAAATGGGCCTTCCGGAAATACCGGAAGTGACCAAATGGGCCTATTTTCAGCCTCCCGGGGCTTCCCTCGAGTCTCCACGAGGGCAAAAACGGCCTCAAACGGGCTGAAAATCAGCTGGGAGCCATGCATAAGCGCAGTGCACGGGGCAGGCGTGTTGTACGTTCACGTGCAGGGGGGCGGAGAACATTGCATTGCGCGCATGCACGCTTTCGGCAGACAACAAAAAGGTTCGCCAACACCGGGATAGGGAGACGGGATACAGGCACAAACGGATGTGAGTCTTCCTGGCTTGACAATGTTGGTTTGATGTCTCAGGTCGTGGCTGTACCGTAGCACATGGCACCGTAGCACATGGTGGCATGGAACAGAGGGAGAACTTGATTCCTAAAACCATCCAAGCAAAGCTTTCCAATCTGGTAAGTTACCCCACTGAATAAATGAGTCCTGAAAGAACGTATAGACTACTGAACTATATGCATTTTCTGCCTTTTTCCACTAAAGGGATCCGCGTTATTATATTATGTTGGTTTATAACTCTACAGGCAGCCTTTGATTTAGAACCACAATTGAGCCCAAATTTTTCTGTTCCTAAACGAGATATTTTATTTAGTGACTTTTGCCCCGTTTTACAGCCTTTCCTGCCACTGTTGCTAAGTGAATCACCACAGTTAAGTTAATCACAGGGTTGGGAAGCGAATCTGGCTCTGCTTGTCAGGCGGACACAAAACAGGTTCGCAGGACCCCGGGGGACGCTGCAACCGTGATTAATACCTGCCACAACCAGGGTATTCACTTAATGATGGCAGGAGTCACTTCACTCCAGTGATTCACTTAACAACCAGGGCCAAAGGTCATCAAATCGGTTGTGGATCCCTTAACCATTGTTTTGCTCAGTGATGGAAATTCTAGTTCCAATCGTAAGTCGAGGACTACATGTATAAACCAAGTAGAAACTTTTTAGAATAGAATGGAATTGAATGGAATGGAGTAGAGTAGAGTAGAGTAGAGTAGAGTAGAGTAGAGTAAAGTAGAGTAGAATAGAATAGAATAGAATAGAATAGAATAGAATAGAATATAGAATATAGAATATAGAAAATAAAATAGAACAGAACAGAATAGAATATAGAATAGAATAGAATAGAATGGAATGGAATGGAATGGAATGGAATGGAATGGAATGGAGTAGAGTAGAGTAGAGTAGAGTAGAGTAGAGTAGAGTAGAGTAGAGTAGA